AATCTACATGTCGCCTGACTTTGGAAAATGAAAAATCTCTCAGCAGCCTCCTAGTCATCTATAGCCAGAAGTGATGCTGAGAAGGGACCTGCTGTCTGACTTTGTATTACTCTAGGGTCAGAAACTCCTATTTCTGGGACCATAAACATTCCACTGGTTTAGCTCATGTGTAGGAGGTGTCTCAGGAGTCAAACTATCCAATACCATGACTGGCACTATGGGGAACTGGTATTGTGACATGAGGGGAATGGAAGGGTCAGCCCCTCAATAATCCAGGGAACAGACAGAATTTCAGGAGACAAGCTTTTTAAGTCATGTGTGATTTCACACAGTGCCAGGATGGAAGACAGTCATCTAAATGGTTCCACCGTCCTTACCTTACAGGGACACAGTGGAGTCAAGGAAGATATGTTAATGTTTGAGTCTAAGTGTTCTAAATCTCTTTGCATGTTCCCCTCATTCTTTCTCAATTTTTTTCCTGCATAAATGTGATATTTTCAAAAACTTGTTGTTATAGAGGACATTTATCTGCTTTTGGATGCTCAGTATGATTTCTCCTTCCTTATAAATGACCCCCAAATTTCCTCAATATCCATATCCATTCAATTAACTTAATCTTTTCTAAAATGCATTTTGCCAGTATGTTTGTTCTTATAAACCTAAATGTTTGATATTTCATAAACTACTTTAAGAAAGTATATTTTAACATTCAATTCCTAGAAAGACAGTGTTATCCTAAGAGCCTCCAGGAAGCAGCTGGATCTAGGAATTTCAAGTTTCTGCATAATTTTTGGAATCTTTGGTTATCTTAAGTTAGGAAACAGTCTCCAAAAATCTCCACAAACAGAACCATTTGTACTAAAAACAGTACACGCATCAAAACAAACAAACAAACAAAAAAAACCACGTTATACCTTCTTGTCAAAGTGCACGTTGGTACTCCAAGATCAATAGTCAAACAGATGCCTTGGATGTACTACGTAATTTGTTTAAGAGCACAAAGTATACACAGTGCAAAAATTATTTTACAAGATCAGCATTATTATAATTCACAGTCAGTCAAAATGTGGAAAATTTTAACTCTTTATGTATTAAAAATTTCACTGTTATTGTGAAATATAACAAATTCTAAATAACAAACCTATGTTTTTATTCTCCTCTTTACAAATAAATTATGAACCACAGCCAAATATAAACTATAACTAGATTGTGGTATAAACAGCATATTCTTAGTTCAAAAGAGTACTAGAACTTATCAGATTGATATTAATAGACATCTAACTTTGCCAAACAAAGACTATGCCATTTTAAAAAGCTATTTCTAGTCTATTCTGTTTTAAATATCATCCCAGATCGTTTAATAATATTAATATACCACAAAATTACTTTCTTCATGGAACAAAAATGAACATTTTAAAGCTTATAAGATGACTAATTCTTAATGTTGTCAAATTAAGTAATTTAATGCAATTACTAAATGTACTGACTTCTTTAAAAAGTGTTGCATAATTAAAGAAACAGCTTTAGTGTCTTTTATAACACACATAAACAGCTTGTTTTAAGCCAAGTTATTTGGGAGGGGGGGCTTTTTTTCTTTCTCATAATTCTGGTAGATGTTCTTGAAGGCAATGCCAAATCCAAGATTTTGTACATAGCTAGCATTCATCCAAATGAAATATGAGCAACCACTATTATAAGATTGGGTCTTGCCCCATCTCAGTTTTTAAGCTCATATTGTTGAAGAACTATACATGGCTATTTTGCTTTATAATCAGCCACTCCTGTGTGTGTTAAGCTGATCTGAGTTTGGCAGATTTCAGATTTGCTCCAGTGCCTGAATAAGCCTATATCAAATTTCCAAATGAAAATACAGCTATTAATGTTAGTAATTTGCTAGGAGTTCAGAGAGTTAGGAGATGATGTTTGGTTTTGCAGCAAATGTTATTATATTCTTATAGCCTTAAACTAAAGAAACAAGTAATGAAAAGGAAAACTACTTGGATAAAATCACTCATTGATATACTGTGATTATCATGTTTGGCTCTAACAATTTTTCATAAAAACTGAGGTTATTATTCCAAGAAATAGCTCAAATAGCTTACTAGGTATAGGCACTTGTCACCTGAGGTCAATTCCTGAGGTCAATGTGGTTGAAGAAGAGAAGTGACTCTTTCAGGTTGTTCTATGAGCTATGTGTATGTGTTCACATGTACCCACAAACACATACAAATAAATAAGCATTTAATTTTTAATTGAGGTTATTAATTTACCCTTAAGTAAGTATGCTATTATCCATAAAGGCTTGAAGTGAAAGGGAACATGTCAAATATGAACATGAACTGTAAGGATGGAAAAATTTAGCCTAACTTCCCTAGACTCTACCCCCAGCAGTGAGTAGGCAAAAGGTCATTCTTGACTGTTTACTACAGGGCGGTTTACCGACAGCACCTGTGAGTGAATGAGAACAGGAAATGAGCCTTGTCACACTACCCAGAAGCCCTAGCGAAAGCAGACTTCCTGGGCTAAGCGCGGGCTTGGATAGTTCAAATTGATTGGTCTGCACTGGATGCTATGAGATGATTGGTTTGTGATGCGTGGCTTTGTTGTAACCCTATAAAAGCTGTCTGAACCCTGTACCCAAGATTCCCAGTCCTCTACCCCACGTGAGGTATGGCTGTGGACCCCAGTGCACTGGAATATAAAAGACCTCATGCTTTTGCATCAAGACAGGTTCTCATGAGTGATTTAGGAGGGCCACCTTTCCTGAGTCGGGGCGTGAGAGTCCACGCCTTCTGTGGGTCTTTCAGAACAACAACAAAATACTCAATGGGATTGAGATGAATATGTCTGGAACTGTAGAGGAAAGGGAGGGCTAGATTTTGCAAAGCCAACACAGCATCTAAAGTCTTGGTTGGATTCAATTTTTTTCTTTTCTTTGTGTACACATATGTGCTTGTTATATGTGGTGTATGTATGAGTTCATGTAGTGTATAGTACATGTGGATGTGTGTGGAAGGCAGAGGTTGACATCAAGTATCTTTCTCCATTACTCTCCATTTTATTTTTGCCAGGGTCTGTCACCAAACCTGAAGCTAACTAATTCTACTAGACTGGCTGGCCAATGGGTATCAGAGATCAATCTGTTTGCATTCCCCTTTTCTCCAGATCTTGGACTAAGATGCACTAGCTTTTACTTGGGCTCTGAGGCTTGAACTTGGGTTTTATTGCTTGTACAGCAGATACCTGACTGAACAAACCTTCTTCCCAACCCTAGCATTGGCCATTTATTTATAAAGATACTCTGACAGCACCATAAAGGGTTGTCAGTGGAGTGTTAATTAGGAAGGTGTCATCACAACTTAGGGAAGAGAAAATGATGGGTTAATCAGAGTAGAGACTACAATTAACGAAAGGTGAGTCAACTTGGAAAGTATTTGGATAAAATGTCTACATGTTGGGATAGATATAGAGAATATGATAGATATTTACTATTACATAAAATTTACAAACTTAGCAATTTGCAATGCTTACTATGTAAAAAAAAAGGGGCTGTCATCAATGCTGACTGAAGATGGTTTGAATTATAAAAATGGGCTCTGTGGCTGGATTTAGAGTCATCTGAGGGACAGACCTCTGGGCCTGTCTCTGAGGGTGTTTCCAGACAGGTTTGATTAAGAAAGATGTACCCTGAACACACTTGGACCATCCCAGGGGCTGGGATCCTATTCTAAACGAAATAAAGAAGGTCATCTGAATCAGTCTCTCGGCATTCTGACTGTGCGTGTAATGTGACCCACCACCTCATGTCTCACCACCATGCCTTTCTTGTCATATTGAAATATATCTCTCAGTCTGAGAGCCTAAGAAAATGTTCCCTCCTTAAGTTGCTTTTGTAGACTGTTTTGCCACAGCAATGAAAAAAAGTAACTAATATAGGCATGGCCTGTCATGGCGTGTCTTTTCATTAGAGACTACAAAAATGTGTGACTATGGAGACAGGATTGGTAAACCGTAGCCAAGAAATGTCAAAAGGATTCTCCTCCATCCAGCCTGCAGATGGAGTGTACCCTGCTGACAACTTGAATTTGTACTTCTGATTTTCCAAACTTACAAGAGAGTAAATTTCTCTCATTTTCAAGCTACTTGGTCGTAACATGCTACATTATCCACAACAAACTAAAATATTCTACGGTGTTTTCCCTATCTCTGTTCATGGCATTCAGCCCAAGTTGTGATTGTCTTCTCATTCATTTAATTACTGCCGTTCTCACCTAACATGTAACCTGGATGCAGGCAGGAGGACCTCTTTCACAACTAGCCTCTGGGCGTGGTAATCCGGAGCACTTAAGACAGCACTTAGCTCAGCAATCATTTGAGTAAAGAAGCCTTAGCTTTTGAAAGGGTTCAGTGATATTGCAGGAGCATCCTCATTTCCCACATTTCCCACGGGCCTTCCCAAATTAACATTTTGTTATTTCTCAAAGAAACCAAGCATGGGAGTGTCTGAACCAAAGACCCCCTGACCAAAGAGTCACCAGTTTACAATACTTGGAGCCGAAGGGAAGAGACTTGATCTGAGTTACAACCTGGGGGTAACCTTTTCTTTTTTTAGCTGATGGGTTACCACTTGCCACAGGTGGGGAAGCCCTCAGTTGCCTGGGCAACGCTTTAGCCTAGCCAGAGGCAAAGCACCCTGGAGGGCTCAGTGCGCAGGCGCCTCCGGGGAGCCAATGGGTGCGTCCGTTCAGACCCGGAGCAGGCTGCGCGGTTCCCGCGGGCGCGGTCGGTTGTGTGCCGGGAGGCGGCGGCGGGCGGTCTCGTAGGTTACGCGCAATCACCCCGCCTCCCGTAGATCCCGCACTCTGCGCCAACCCCTGTCGCGGCGCCCCGAGCGGGGACCACGATGGCGCGAGCTGGCGGCAGCAGGCGCCGCTGAGCTGACGGCGGGCGCGAGGCACCGAGGCGAGCCCGGGCAGGCGGGGCCCAGAGGCGCCGCTTCCCGCCCTCCTCCAGCCGACAGACAAACTCTGTGCCCCCAAACCCTGGGCCCTCTGCGGGAATGTTCAAAAATGAGTACCAGGTAACCCGAAAGAGCTTCCTTCCTGGGGCTAGTTGGCTTGCCTTCTGGGTTGTGAAGCCTCCACTCCCGGGGTGAAAAATAATTAGTGGCTAAGGCGTCTTGACCTTGAGTGTTCATGCCCCAGCCCAGTGCTTTTTAGTGCAGAATCTTTGGATTTGATTACAGAGCAGGTCATGACCCTCCCCCACCCCCCCAATCCGGAATAGGAATTTGAGCACCAGACCCCTGATCCCCTCTTGTATCTTAGAAGCTATTTAGAAGAGTTAATGAATGGATCACTTTAAACCCAGGATTAAAGTAAGCACTTGGGCTGTGTGCTGTTTTCTTTTTCCTATGACTCTCCTGCATTGGGGTACATGAGGATCAGTTGGGGAATACTAACAAAAACCCAGATTTCCTGACCCTTCTTCTAGATCTGGTGAATGAGAAATGTGGATGGGCTTAGCCTGTGTAGTTTTAAAGCAGCTCCCAAGCAAGTCTGATCCAAGGATTACATTTGGAACACACTGTTTCTCAGTGTTCCTCAGACACCTTGCTGCTTGGATGGCATTCCTTCCCTACCTCGGCTCACTGGCTTTCTGTTCCAGCTCTCCTGTCTTCATCTTCAAATGACTAGTCTATGTAGTATCTTCATCTTTCTGTTAGGAATATTGTCAGAGTACTGGTACCCCCATCCCCAGGGCCCACCTCTTTGTGGCTTCATCCTTTTGGCCAAACACTACTTGACCTTAAAGTGGTGTGTGCTTTTCTTTTGTCCCATTTTAGAAGTTTGTTCTATGGGTTAGAATAAACTTAGTTTAATCGCAGCATGTAGATATAGTATAATGTTATGAAATAACAGATGCCCACTGTGGACAATTTGGAAAACACAAGAAAAGAACTGGGGAAAAAAAGTTTACTGTTTCACCGAGGTTCAGGAGATTTCTTTTTAAAATCCAGCGGCCTCAAACTTAAAATTCATACAAAATGACCTGCCCTTAGAAGCAATAGCAAGTACAATTTTGCACATAGTAAGAAAGAAGAAATGTTCTACATGTCAGAAGCAAAACATATGCTTTAGGAAAAATGCTGGTGAGTTTTTACAAAAACTAAAACAGGTTTTTATAAAAATCTGTTTCTTGTATGTGCTTCGTGTAATGCAAATCATACTTAGTCTTTATCTCAGCTTCTCAAATTTCACAACATATTCTTCCTTGGAGATAATCATTTAATTCCCCCATTTTTATTTGCAGAGTATATGGGTACTTAGTAATAACTTTAGCATTCCTATTAGTGTGACTCGTGGTCTTCAGTTTACAGTAGGTAACAATCTATTGAAAATATTCCTTTTGTTCTTCCTATATGTCTCCAAATATATTTGTTTGAAAGATATCGTAGAGATGTTCAGTAAGAACCACCTTCCACATATACCCCCATCCTTCTTGGGTCTTTTTATGAATGAGTCCAAGCTATTTTCCCTCTTTATTGAATAACTTTCAATGGCAATATTAAGCCCTTGCTGCATGCCAAGTATTGTCCTTGATGATTTATGTTTGCTAGCCTGCATGATACAACAACTTATTTGACAGATGGAAAAATCAAGACATTAACTCCAAATTCAGAAAATTAAAAAGAAGGTATTGGAGCCCTAATCAATATGACTACTAAGTTTATGTTCACACATAGTGATAAGATTTATTAGCTTAGTTTATAATTGTGTTTAAGCCCTTTAGTCTGGTCTTTTTAGATTTTTTGAGGACCTGATCTATACATGTCAAGTCAGTGAGCCCTTTCTATAATATTTCTATGGCACAGTTGATATTTATCATGTTTTTAAAGGTGAGTTCCTTAGTAACCCAAGGTGACCCAAATCCAATAGTTGTGGCTTACATACAGCCAAAGTATAAAATAGGTATAATAATAGGGATAATGTTTTTCCCGTATCTGACTGTTTAACTGACAGATGGCTAGAACACTGGTTGTAGACTCTGTGGTAGATATAATGTCTCTGATGCATTGTATTCACTGTGGATTTCTTGTTTGATTTTCTAGGGAGGTGCATTTGTTGAAATCTTTAGTGCCCAGGGCAAAAATCCTGGAGCAAAATGGAAGATCTTTGGCAGTCCATCTGTGATTTGGAAAGTAAGTGTTAGAAATGTCAAGTCCTGGAAGGGATGTGTGGGAAGGTTATAGAAAAAGGGACTTGATCAGACTTCAGAACTGGTTTTCTTATTCTTCCACCATCAAAAGCTTTGTGTTGTTGGTTGCAGGCCCTACCACCACCACCAGACACAACCCCGTAGCTGGTTAAGACTGCCACATGGTGTGTAACTGCTCTGTGTTCTTGGAGTCCTGCTTTATCATTTTAGGTGACTTTGGTATCAGTGAAGAAAATCTCTCTTACCCCGGGCCTCTGGGTTTCTTGAGTTCATCATCTTTAATGACATCTGATTCTGCTGCAGTCTTACTATTACTATCACATCCTTGACCTCATCACCACAAACAGTGGGACCTCTGAAATTATCAAGTGAGACACAGTGACATTTTTCGATGACCTCAGTCTTCGATTCTTAAGCTCACTTCTTCAGATCCACCCTCTGTCTGGTTCTAAAGTCTGATTGGGACCTTCAGGGCATAACTTTTCGGTTTCCTCCTTGTGGTTAGTTTTATTGACTTTCCCTGAGGTCCTATCTCTTTCTCTGCAGTGCAGAAACTTAAAGTCTCATTTCAGTCCCTTTCCAGGAAGGACCTTGAAAGCCTTTGCTCTTTAGCCTATCACGATGCTTGCCTAGCCAGCCCCTGTCACATCCCCGTCTTTCCTTTGCATGTGCCTGGGCTCCTCAATACTTTTGGAGAAAATACCTAGTTTTAAGATTGATAACACTATAAATCCAACCCCAGTAGTTCTGAAAATTATCCTGTTATATTCTTGTCAATATCCAAATGATCCTTTCTTGTCATCTTCGGTTTCCAGCCACCAGACTGCTTAATCCTAGCCCCTGCCCACATCCAGGGTATGCCCTCCTGACTCACCAGAAGCTGACACCCCCACTTCCCAGAGAAAGTAGGAGCCATCAGGTGGAAGCCAATTTTCCTTGCTTCCACCATACCTAAAAGCGTGTCTCCATCAGGGTGAATAAAAGATGAATAAGAATACCTGTAGATGAAACTTAAACCTGCTATTGAGTGCTTAGTATTTTCTAAGCATAACATTAGACACATTGCATAATGTTATATAATGTAAGTAACTTTGTGATGTAGATAGCTACGTGCCCCTCTGACAGATGAGATTATTGACGTATGGAATGACAAGGATAGAAATTGGGCAGTTCTTGCTCTGAATGAGGGAAAAACGGTACTCAGAGAACATGTGCCAGAGAAGTCAAAAGAGGCTTCCCCAAGTAAATGACATTGAGTTCTGGTATGGTTTGAATATAAAATGTGCCCCCACAGGTTGTTCTATTTTGAGAGGTTGTAGAAACTTGGAGGTGGGGAATTGGATCACTGGGACTTGGCATTTGCAGGTTCTTCTTGGCCCCAGGTTTCTGTTCCTTACCCTCATTCCTGTGTGCCATGAAGAAGCTTTTCCACCAAGGTTGCCACCACTGATATTTTGCCCAGGCTCATGGGATCAGGAACTGTAGATTGAAGTGTTTGAAACCCTAACCTTAAAATGAGAATCGTTTTGCTTTCAGTTGTTTACGGTGGATATTTCGTCACAGCTGCCCAAAGTAACTAACGCAAGTGCTGAGTGTCAGCCAGGCATCCAGAAGAGCATGCCAAGTAAAGGGAGCAGTGTGAACATAATTCCCGTATCAGAAGGGGGCTTGGCATTCTCAAGAAACTGAGAAAGTTATTGGTATTAAAATGAAAAGATTAAATTTGAAGTGCTTGGTGGGGACCAGCGTATATAAGTGCTTTGTGACTGTGTTGAAGGTTTGGGTAGGCTATGTGATAAATAAAACAAATTATATATATATATATATATATATATATATATATATGCGTGTGTGTGTGTGTGTGTGTGTGTTCATCGCAAAAACATAGGGCATGCTGTTACAGTGAACATTACATGGACTTACACATTATAAAAGTCTCATTAATTAAAAAGATTTATTTTGATGTTTGTGTGTGTTTGTCAGTGTGAGTATATGCCATATGTATATGTGGGGTGCCCAGAGACGTGAGAGGACAGCATCTTACACCCTGGTGTGCAAACATAGATGGTTGTGAGCTGGCCAGCATGGGTGTTAGGAATTGAACATGAATCTTCTAGAAGAGCAACAGGTGCTCTTGACTGCTTAACCATCTCTCTAGCCCCTTAGCTTAACTTCTTAGCATTAATTGTTACATTCCAGTTCATATTGTTTTAAAATGTTTGTGTGTGTGTGTGTGTGTGTGTGTGTGTGTGTGTGTGTGTATAGTTTTTAAAGCCACAGCAGATATGAAATAATACATAATTAATTCCACTTGAAGTATGGCCTGGAAGCAAAAACTTCTAGTGTGAATTCAGCGGGTGTTAGACATTTCTTCTGCTGTGCAGGAGGTGGTGATCAGCTGTGTACCTAGATGGGGATTCATGCAGGTAGCAAGAGGCAGCTACATCCAGAGCCAGTTAGTAGCTTTGGAATCCCTGAAGTTGGAGAACTTTTTTTCATTTGGAGAATACATGTTTTCATATCGTAAGATTTAGCCACATGGCTAGTGTGCTTTTGTGTTCCATTCCCAGCAAGTCTCAGGATGAAAGCCTCATCAAGGTTTGAGTCTAGTTTTATGTCTTTTGTTTAAAAAAAAAAAAAAATCAATCAATCAATCAATCAAACAAAAAAACTTTTTCCTGGAATTTGCAATTCCAGTTTTTACAGAATAAGCCAGATAAGATATGCTTCAATCACTGCTATTTTCATTTTGTCCCATAGGAGTTTGATAAAGAAGTTAAAAGTTTTGTATTTATCCTGGAAGGCAGCAGCCAGACCAACAGAATTCAATTGCCGAAGGAAAATAAGCAAATCCGTGAGTAAGACTTCTAATACTGGAGTTCAGTGTTTGAGAGAATTATATTTTGTGTCTTAGAAGCAGGCATATAGTAGGACCTTTGTGGGATCTGCTGGTATGAAGTCATGTGATATTTTCAATGTAGAAATTAACTGTATGTAGAAAAACATCCTCCCTCACTATCTTTAAATTTAGAACTATTTTAAATCCTAGAAGATTATTTTAGTAGCTATTTATTATAATAGTATTTATTGAGCATTAACTTTGTATGAAGAATTTCTCACAAGTGTTCCTTTACAGATGAGCATAAAAACATTGGGTTCTTATTAGAAAATCCGGTGGTTAAGGCAAAGTTTTGACACAAACTCAAGAATTCATAAGTTACAAGAACTTCAGTTTTTTAAAGAAAAATTAGTAACAATAATCGATAAACCTTTAGGAACAAAATCTAACAAGTATAGATATGTTCTCTAACAGATAGCTGCAGTAATTGGTTCCAATGTGAAAATTAATGTGGCATTTTAAAGCCGACAGAACCTTACAAGGTGACTTAGAGATGCGGTCTAGAAGAGCAGTTGTTGACAGACATGAGGTTGAAATTTAAGGCTCTGTCAACAGATTAAGCTTTCAGTAAAATGATTAATTTGAATAACGTCTAAATATTATCAGGTTTTTTTCACTTTTATTGGTTAAATATATATTTCTGGTTTTGTAGAAATAAATTGGTAGTTCTTTTTTGCACTTAATAGTCATTAAGAATATTTATTAGGGGTTTGCAGATAAGGCAGAATGATAGAGCATTACCTAGGAGGTCCAGAGGCCTGGGTTTAATCCCTAGCAACATAAATAAAACATTAAAAAGACCTTCCATGCACCAGGCACTGTGGAAAGCCATTGGTACCTGATTTCTAATTTTAATTTCCTTTCTAAAGTATACAGATTCTAGGCTTTATGTACCATTTCAAGTACTATGTGACATTTTAAATTTCTAAAATGTAAATCAAACCACGAAAATTAGGGATGGAAGATGATTTAATTTAAAATGTTTTGCCAGAGTTTCTTTATAAACTAAGAAATCAACCTTAAAAGAGAATAGATAATTATTGTTAACATTTTAAAATTAATTTGATGCCACAGGGAAATATGCCTGGCTTCCTCATAGTTCCTAGTTGGATTTGTGATTGATAGTAGACTGTTTTGTTGTTGTTTTTCATTTTCACATACATTTGTGTTTGTAAGTAAGTGAACTAAAATAAGTTCGACAAGCGCATCTGGAGTTGCAGTATTTTTCTCATAGGAGACACAGTTCTTCTGATTCGGGATTTTGGCTTTATGTAACAGATATATTCCGGGAACTTGGCTGTTAGAAGTAGGCTAGTCTTTTCGCCCTTGTGTTTGGCTTGTGAAGATAGTCTGACTGCCTTTTAGTATCCTCTGTGTCAGTACCAATCATGGTATTTATGGAATCAGGCAGCCCTGCCAGCCTTCTCATTTGGCTCTGAGAAAGATTCTTCCTTTACCAAAGTGACTAAATACAGTCTCTCCTTCTCCCTTTTCTACTCTTATTCAGGTTTTTGGGTTTTTTCCTTACTTTCCTCAGAAATGGGGTATAATGTGTTATAATTGCCTTTTTAAATGTAGCAATGATGGCTTTTAATTAGAACAAACAGAAGATTCTTCTAATGTGTTTCTTTACACAATGCCCTGCAATTAAAAATTAATCTGGCTTTTCCATAGCCTGTGCAGCAGTGTAACAAATGAAACCTTTTCTATGATATCCCTGGTATTAATGCTGTTCAGATGCACTCTTTGGATGTTTTGATAACAAAGATTGTAGTTATTTTTACTTGTATAAAATGGCCTTCTGTGTGAGTTTCATGTGGTTAAACTGAAATTAGAAAGCATGCCTTGAATAGAGAAGTAGCTTTCAATTAACATCTCAATTAAGTTCAATTATCCCTATGTATTCCTATTTTAAGAGTTAATACATACTTTATGTAAACTTGACATTTGGTAGTTCATTTGTATTCCTGATTATATTAAATACTTATAAGAAAAGTTTCATAATGAAATTAAGTATTTTTGACTGTTCCTATATAGTAATCTTTCTGAGTTAAAATTGTACTTGATCAGTCTTAAGTAAATAAATCAGTTTTTAATTTGTTATTACCTTTACTTATTACTGTGTGATTGCATGCATGCACCATGGTGTGCATATGGGTCAGAAGACAACTTGTCATATGGGTTCTCAGAATGAACTCAGGTCAGCTTAGCAAGCAAATGCACTTAGCTGCTGAGCCATACAACTCACCCTGTTGTAGCTAGAGTTTTCTGTCCCACCAGGTCCTGCCATCCTTCAGCCCCAAATAAGCACACAGACACATATTAATCATTAAACTGTTGGCCGATGGCTGTGGCTTCTTATTGGCTAGCTCTCTCTTAATTATTAACCTATAACTACTAATCTGCGTATTTCTACATGGCCTTATCTTACCAGAGAACACCTGGTGTGTCCTATCTTCCCAGTCTCTAAATGGCATTTCCATTGCTGTCTCTCTCTACCTTCCTCTCCCCAGCTTTCTCTGGTCTGGTAGCTCTGCCTATCCTTTCAGCCTGGCTACTAGCCAAACTGTTTTATTCATCAGCCAATAAGAGAAACATATATTCAGAAGGAGAGTCCCCTTCACCCTGTGGTTTTTGTTGTTGTTTCTTTATAACCTAATAACCTCGAAAGAGACTGTTGTTAAACTGTTGTAATTAATTTGCTGCAATAAGTAAAGTTCCTCATAGTTCCTAGTTGGATATGTGTCACATAGTGCTTGAAATGGCACATAAAGCCTAGAATTTTTACAGTTTACAAAGGATACTAAAAGTAAAATTCAGGTACCTACAGCATGTCTTTTCATAGTCTTGTGCATGGAAGGCACCCAATACAAGTTCTTTCTAATATGATTAACTTAATGTTGCTAGGAATTGAACCCATGCCTATGAGCCTGCTAGGTAAATAACCCATCAAATGACAGAACATGTGATGCTCATTATCACACTGTATACTTCTCCATGGTATTTGTTAATCATCTTTTTTATAACTCCTAACTCAGTGATGATTTATATTTGATGTTCAGATAAGTTTGTTAAATGTGTCTCAATGAGGACAATTCTGTTCTCATTTCTAATTGTAGCCATCTGCCCTTGGTAATGACACTTTCATCTATCATTTAACAGTTAGATAAATCTATGCCACCCTTCAGCTTGGATGGTGTTGTATGGAGTCGACTGTATGAGAAGTATCACTGTCACACATAAATATCCAGTAGGGATTTTGTATTCAAGAGTCACATTCAAAGTCATTGGTTTCCCTGCTGAATCATCTGAAACAAATAGTGTGTGTCCAGCCATCTGCATCCCCAAAGTCTGAGTTCAGCTATTCTAAAAGATGAGGATGGCTTCCTGTGGTTCCCCGAGGTCTCCTCATTGCTACTTTGCTATTCTTTTAAAATTATATCTTGCTCTGTTTAAAACCCTTAAGTGTCTTTGATCTCACCATTCTATGAAAGTGCTTTATCAGAGTGAGCAGTTTTCTGTATTCCTGAGCCAGTGGGGGCTCTCGGCTTTCATCCTCACCTCTAGGAGCATCTGAGAGCACCAGCACATCCTTGATACCCTTCCCTCACTTACCTCCTTGGATGTCTCCCACCTCCATCTTCATCCAACTGTATACTAGGTTATTCATTTTTCCTGTACTGTTGCCACCTGAATGCTATGGTGATGCTAGTCTTTATGTTTAGCCCTGTAGCTATATGTTTTCCCTGGTTATCAGCATCAGGATCATAGATTTTAATACCACTTCTGTCTTACTTCAGTCTTGCAAATCGGGACCACCTATATGCAATGCAGTGTGTGTAAAACCCAGCTCCTGACCAAAGCTGCTTGGGATACTTCTTCCCTTCCTTTAACTTGCTAGCAAACAGCATTGTCTTTTCAACTGATGAGACCAAAATTCTTCTTTAAATCTATTTCTATTTTTCTTTATTTTCTGAATCCATTAAGAAGAGATCAGCCGTACTGGGGAAAAGACTGAAAGGTTTCCTGCTCCTTACCCTTCAGTACTGTTCACACCTCTCTGGGCCCTGGATTATTGCAGTTTTACTTTCTGTTATCAAATTAGCAGCCAGAGTAGAACTCCTCAATTATAAGTGACATGTGAAACATGTTACCTTCTCGTGAAAAATGTCCCATTTCCTAAAGTAAAAATAATTTCTCAATGGGAATATGACTATCTGATTCCCTCTTAACTCACTGGCTTTCTCTCTTATTGCTCTTCCTCTCCCCTGCATCCCACCCATTCTAGGCCATTGCTGTTTTGACACACAGCTTACTCTTCTCCTCCCCAGCCTTTACTAAGGTGCCACCTTGGAGCGAGACCCACCTGACATGTACTTAATTTACACCTGGACTTCAGCGTCCTGTTTCCAGCCCTGTGGCCCACCTGCTGCCCTGATTTCATACTGTGGACAGCACTGAACATGTGTGTAATTGTTACTTGTTCCACTGTTTTCCCAACCGTTTTCAGAAAGCAAATTCCACAGATAGAAACTGCTTAGTTTGTCTTGTGTTACCTGATATACAGTCAGGTTAATCTGCATTGAACACATGCATGAATGAGCAGCTTCCCACTGATTTTAGGTTGGCCCATATCTTTCGCATGGCCTTCAAGGCTGCATGTGACTGAGTTTCAGATCTATTCTTTTCCCTGTTCAGTGTCTTGTAGCAGCTGCCTGAGCATTTTAAGGTTCATTTCAGCTGTCATACCCTTCCCCCATGGACATCTTAACCTCCACCATAAGATGGAGTAATCCATCTACATTCTGCTCCTCCTCTATCACTACCACACTCCCAGTCATTCCCTGCCTGTTGTTCCATGCTCAGATCCTGCGCTATTTTTTCGGAACTACCTTTACTGATCATCTCTTCCTCTCAAGTTAAATGCTGTCATAGGACTTTAACCTCCTCTTTTGTGAAACCATATTGTACATTCCAAGAGGGTGTAGGTTATGACTGTCTTATTTACTAAAAAAAAAAAAAAAAAAAAAAAAAAACTTCCAAGTCCTGTGCACAGCGTGTGATCAATAATTTTTGTTAAATGACAAGGAAAATTCATAAGATGGTTCTTTGAGATACAGATGGAAATTATTAGCCTAGTTTAAGGGATGAAAAAGAAATTAAGGATATGCTAAGGCTGTGATTGAAGTCTTGGAGTGAGTTTATCCTGAGCTTTCTGGGCAGGGAGGAGGAATGACTGTCTGCAGCCTCATCCCATTTCTTGGATGATGCAGTCCTTGTAAAATGTATGTAAGGTATGCGATCTGTCATTTGTTCCAATGAAACAACTCTAAAAACATTGCTTAAAACCAATGATATTTTACAAGTTGAGTATGTCTTTATGTATTTAAAAGGAAAAAGAAAGGGGACTTTATCCCTTTAACAAGGACTTCTGTATATTTTATGCATTTGATGGCCATTTTTAAACTAATGAGGCCTATATTCAGTATTACATAGAATAATGTTAAGTACAATGCACATATGAAGAGTCAGTTTAAATATCCTAGGTCAGCGAAATATGTACTACAATGGAGTTTATTTAGCATTACTGCCACATGGAATCAGCTCATCGAATGTTATTAAAACACTCTTCTCTTTGTCATATCATCACCCTGTAGTATCATCACATTGAAAGCTTGCCTGTTGGAAAGTAGGGCCTTGGTGTGTGAGAATGTTGAATGACAGTTCTGTTTTGTTTTGTTTTGTTTTGTTGAGGAAAGAGATTGTTCTTTTCTAAAACTGGTCTTTTACATGCAGCTCTTTGTGCTTGAAGGAAATAACACTGATTCAGTGAGATTTGTGGCACCGATTTTACAGGGCTGGCTTCGCTTGATCTGGTGTTTTCCAGGCTCTGCTTACAGCTGAGGCCCCTGTGGAAACAGCAGTACTCTCAGTGCAAGAGGCCAGAGAGGACGGCTGGTGGTGGCATATTTGAGATGGCCTCATTTTGCTATTTCACTTTGCTTTTGTGGGTCAGAGCTCTGGTTGCCACACTCGCTCTTACTATAAATGTGGTGGAACACATTCCTCCAGAATTTTCTGTTTTGTGTAACTTCGGGTTTCTCTCTGAACACATGTATAAGGTTGACAATTTAAAAGAAGTTATCCTTGTATATTTGATGAAAACATTCATCCTTGTATATTTGATGAAAAGCATTTATATATGTATATTTGGCCAATTATGTTTGTTTATAGAAAAGTTTGGTAAAAAACACAGAAGTGGTTTATATGTCCCAGGAATGCTGTAAAACAGCTTACCGTAAGAATCACAAACCAGAAGTCTTTGTATAAAATGATCAAAAGTTAAATTTATTATATTTATTGCTAGCATAGATAAGACATACCACCCTTAACTCAGTTGCTTTCCCTTGGAGTCTTATGTCTGTGCATATGGGTGTGTGGTGTTTGTGTGTGTGTGTGTGTGTGTGTGTGCGCGCGCGCGTGCGCACGCGCGCGCGTGCACATACATGAATGTATGCATGCATGCATGCATGCTAGGAATTGAGTCCAGCATTGTGCACACTAAGCAAGCACTCCAGCCATAGCTTAGGTGGGCTCTGAATTGGAAGATGAACCTTGAACTTGTGATCTTCCTGCCTCTGCTTCCTAAGTTCTGGATTGTAGGGAAGCACCATCAGACCTGGCTCTTCCTTAAGTCTTTTTTTTTTTTTTTTCCTGTTTTTTGTACTTTTGGATTTATAGGAGAAGGTCATAGACAAAATTATGACAACTTTATTATATTCTTATGCAACACAAATATTCCTAACCTGGATTTTTTTTTGGGGGGGGGGCGATATGATCCTTGTGAGTTTTTCTGACCATTTTTTAATCTCCTCAAGGATTGAAATGAGAATCTCCTATATGGCTTACCTGCCAAGATCTTCTACAACCCGTCCATACCAGTTCCCTAAGACGTCTGTTGGAAGCATCATAAATCGAGAGATCAATAAAAAGTTCAAAACCTTAGAGGGAATGACTTAAGTGACTGAATGTAGACAAAGTATAAAAATCAACTAACTTTATTTAAGCAGTTGTAGACTACAGCTATCAAAAGTGCCATGTAGGTTTTTTTTTTTCCTCAAAATTTCTTATCCTTATGAAACTAGTGATGAGGAATAACAGCTATTTTTTTTTTTTTTTAGTGAGAATTAATTAAGAGCATGTTAACAAAAGAGATTATAAGTGAAACTGTCTTCCTCCATCCAGCTAAGTGTGGACATTGTTAAAATCATACGACCAAGATCTGCTTTGTTGAGCCTTTACTTGTAGTTGCCATAATTAGAATTACTTTTCTTGAGCTGCTCTTCTTTATTTAGTTGTTTAGTAAGAGTATAAAACCTGTCAAAGAATAAACTAATTGCCACGTTTTTATGACCACACTGATGCCATAGTTCAGTTTTATATGTGTGTGTGGACTGCTATTCCATGCTCACATTCTCTTATGGCATAACAAAAGATGACTACAAATCCTTTATTTTTTTTAATTTTCATAAAAATATCACCAGTGCCACAGATGGGACTTTAAAATGCAACATTTGTTGAAGTTTGATTCAGTTGTCATCTGCCTCATCTTTACAATCAGGTTTTAAATCATGATGGTGCTCCTGTGTGCCTTCCTGCTCCTGAGCAGATGAACTAGGCAGTTTGCTGGGAGCACTGACTGTGTCTGTTTGTGTGTACATATTAAGGGCCTGAACATTTCAAAATGTCATATTTTTTTCTCTCTTGTTCTAGTTGGACTGATCCAGAGGTTTCTTGTACTTCAGATTTACATACCCTTGGGACAGGACTTCTCCACTGAACTACTGTAAGATCTATAGAACTTCTTGTGAATGTTTTATGTGCATTACACATTAGATCAACTGAAGCAGTGTAACAGTCATTAATTGCATGTGGCAGGTCTTATTTTTACATTAAGCAGTATGACTTATCGAGTTGACATGAAGTAATTAAGTAATTTAGTTGTATTTCTTGGGTTTCCCTACACTCTGGGATTTTGGAGGGAGAAAGAAAGTAGGTTTTATGTTTCAGAAGATGCTGTGGAATTGGATTTTATATTTTTCCTCTTTCTTTGCAGAACTATAGTTGGCTTAACATCGATTGAAAGACATTGTAACACTATTTACTGTAGTTTTGACATACTGGTTCCTTTTGTGTATGAGAACATAGCTTGGAGTATGTTTATTTCAGTGGCCTTACAAGATTGTTAAGCAAAAGTTAAAATAAATTATTTTTACTTAGTTGAGCTATGTGTTGCAAGATAATAGTAGTAATAAAAATAACATTTGTAGTTTCATACAAAATTCAGTATTTTCTAAGTTTTTGTTACTAAATTTATGTATTGTAAATAAACCATTAAATGGTTTATTTTTGGTTTGGTTTTTAATTAAAAACCATGGTAGCCTTAGGCATTTGTCTTCAATCCTGGACAAAAGTGAGTTCCTAATAAGACAGTTTTGATCCAGCTTTATCAGCATTTACTACAAACTAAAGGAAAGTATGTTTTTAGTAATGAGAGTTATTAATTTCCATTTACATAAGCTGGGGTATTAGTGATTTTTTTTTTAGGTTGTCCGAGTCTGAATTTTAGCTTATAAGGTGCAGCTGTGTTTTCTTAGCTAAAACAGAGGTGGAACACCATACATGTCTGTTTTACTCAACCTTAAGCGCCTGTGAACTTGTAAGATCTTCTTTTATCATCTTCCGTATCCACCACCATTCTTAAAGATAGCCCTTAGAGAGAGAAGACCAAAGCGTCGTTTGATGCTCTCATGTGCCACTTCCTGGTTTCTACAGAGAACAGCGTTTTCAAGCCCCCCAAAGGCATTCTAAAGGTGCAGAGAGCAACACAGAAAGCGTTACTTTCAGCACAGGAGAATGGGACTTCTGAATCGAAAGAAAGCGAAGTATGTTTTAAACTTTAAAGCTCTTTACAGTGAAATCCAATTTTGTTCCCCTTTTTCCCTGGATCTCATCATGACCCCCACTTTGAGCTTTTTTAAAGCAGTAGTAAAGTCGTTCCTAGTCGGCTTTGGATTAGAGGCTGTGAGAACTATGGCTGGACCTTAGAGGCCTGTGAGACCATTGAGACATCTTTTTTCTTTATAAAATTAAGCTTTATTTGTGCCCAAACACTTGAGCATATCACTCTAGCATACATGCTATACTGTCTTAATTAATTTAATGACTATTAAAACTTTAAATTTTGAGAAACCAATAGGAATCCTTAATCTGATTCTAGCAGGAAAGAAGCTGATGCATAAGTGAATCAACTATTCTTTGCTACCATATCGCTAATGCTCTTGGCCTGCTTAAGTGTGGGAAACAGTTTTGAGAGGTATTGGCATTGATTAGATTGTGAATGTTGTTTACTATAATCATTGATTTTCATGTCTTCACGTCCACATGGGAAATGAGTTGATTTTCTAGATGAGTTTTGTTTTATAATTCTAGAAAAATGAATTCTTTTGGACACAAAGGTTAAAATTATTAAATGACATGGGTGAGAAATTCCATTCTCAGTTTATTGTATATGAATTAACTGCATTTGTTACTGATAGTCAAAATAGTTCTGTTTCATGCCCAAATGACAGAGACCATGTTTTCAGCAAAGGGCAGATGGAATGATAGAGGTAGATTTCCATTCTCATTTTCCCCAGGCCTTAAAAGAAAGGACTTTCTTTCAGTACCCTTCTTGTTGTACTGTTCCTAGCAGCACAGCCCTAGGCTATTTTAAATAATACATTTCTCTAACAAGCTTAGAAAGTCACCTAGCAGAACCATATCTGGCTTCTAAATTTCTTTATTGTTAGAGCGGGGAAAGGCATTTTGTTTCTCAAAGGTTTTTGCTGTACATCGTTTGGTTTTTATCAGTGGAGTCTTGCTAGCTCACTTAGGAGTTTAGCAATCATTTCCTAAGCCTCTTTCTATGTCTTTTATACTTCCTGGATGACTTATTGTGCCCAGGAAGGTGTAATACATGAGGATTGGGGGTGCTGTAGAGCCAGCAGCTGCTCAGCTTGAGGACCTAGTGTTGTCAGGCAGTGTGCTGCCCCTTGGGGACTTGAAATGATTTGAATCTGTGACTGTTGTTTTTCCTACTTTCAAAATACCATCACAGTCGTCTTAGCTTTTCTCTGGACTTTTCAGCTTCTTCCTTGTCTTAGTTACAGCTTCTATTGCTGTTGCTATGAAGGGAAACCATGACCACGACAATGCTTATAAAACAAAACATTTCATTTCGGCTTGCTTCGGTTTCAGAAATTTATCCCATTGTCTTCTTGGAATCATACAGGCAGATGTGGTTCTGGAAAAGGAGCTGAGGCATCTTGATCCACAGGTAACAGCAAGTGAACTGAGTGCCACCCTATTCATAGCTTGAGCATAGGAGATTTCAAAATCCACCTCCAAAGTAGCACACTTCTTTCAACAAGGCCAAAACCCCTAATAGTGCCACTAGCTTTGGGGGCCAGTTTCTTTCAAACCACCCTATTATACTCCCTGGTCTCCATGCAAAAAGACATTCAGTTCAACTTCAAAAGTTTCCATGGTCTATAATAGTCTCAAACTTACTTAAAAGTCTAAAGTTCAGAGTCTCTTCTGAGGACATGCAATACCCTGTACTATCAAAATCAAAAGGCAGATTACATACTTCAACATATAATGACACAGGATATATATTGCCATTCCAAAACATAGGGAATGGAGCATAGCAAGGAAATATTGATCCAAACCAAGAGCAAAACTGAGCTGGGCAAACTCCAAACTCTGCATCTCTATGTCTGATGTCAAAGTGTTCTTCATATCTCCAACTCTTTTCAGTTTTGTTGACAGCAATACACTTTTTTCTCTTGGGTGGCTTCTACTCTCTTTTAGCAGCTCTCCTTGGCAAGTATCCCATGACTTTAGTATCTTTAGCATGTTGGGGGTCTCCAAGGCAATCCAGGATTCACCTTCACAGCTCCACACAATAGCCTCCACACAGTGCCTACATTCAGGGACACCCTATGTCTGTCCTCAAAAGCCAGAACAAACTGGCCAAAGCTGCCAAATTCTGCTGCTGCTGGGCCTAAACCTGACCCCTTTCTTCAATTACATCTTTACCAGCTTTCTGTTATAAGTGGTTTCCTTCACGTCCTAAGCTTGGCTATACTGAATATTGATCTTCAGACCAGGCTGGCCTCAAACTCAGAAATCTACCTGCCTCTGTCTTCCCAGTGCTAGGATTAACCACCACACCAGGCTTTAAGCTTTTCTTTAATGTCTTTCCACGTGTTGGGAATTCAGTTGAGTGGGATTTTGCCCTAAGGTCACTACTCCAATTATCCTATTTCTTAATCTATTTTAACTCCTTGAACATAGGAACTAGCTCCATTCCACTTTCTGGTGCTTTTTTTCTCCTCAGATTTTACATTTTGTATTTTTCCTTGTTCAGATTGCTCTTTTTTTATTGTAAATCATCACTAGAGTTTACTATAATAACCACAGACAGTGTCTATACTGGGCTGTTTTGAGATTTCTTCTACCAACAGAATTAATCCAAAACTTGATTTTAGCACTAAGGAAACTCTGGACAAGGACAAAAAGCAAGCAAGCAAACACAAAAACAACAACAACAACAAAACCCAGCCATATTTTTCACCAGAATATCACAAGTACAATCTCTAGGTAACATACTAAAGTTCTCCACTGAAATTTCTTTAGTGATTAGTGATGCTCCTACAAATCAAATCACCCTCAGCACCACTGTCTTCCATGCTCCTGTTAGTATGGCCCATTGAGCAGCATTTAAAGCATCCCACTGCTTTCCTAACACAAACTCTCAAAGTCCAGATTTTCCAAACAAAATCATGTTGTGGCCTTTCATAACAATATCCCAGTCCCTGGTACCAACTTGTCTTTGTTACTTACAGTTTCTATTCCTGTGAATATAGTCCATGACAATGGCAACTTTTATAAAGGAAAAAAAATTAATTTGAGCTGGCTTATAGTTTCAGAGGTTTAGTCCATTATCTTCATGGTATACATGTATACATTGTGTACATGTAGACATGGAATGGGAGAAGGAGCTAAGACTTCTGCATCTTGATCCACAGGCAATAGTGAATGCCACACTGTTCATAGCTTGAGCATAGGAGACCTTAAAGCCCAGCTCCACAGTAACACACTTCCTCTAACAAATCTAAACAACCCCTAATAATGCCACTACCTACAGGGGCCATTGTCTTTCAAGCAAAAACACTCCCTCAACAGAGTCCACACTGTACTTATCGCAAGCTGTCTTAAAAAAAACAGTTTCCACAGGTGAAATGAGGATAAACTCAGAAGCTATTAATGTTCTGTATGTCATGGTTTGTTCTTTTCTCCTCATGCCTTTTTTCCATAAAAGCCAGGTGAAGTCCCTTCTTAAATTCCTGTGCACAATTAGCTTCTGTCCTCAACTCTTCATGTGCAATTCCTACTCTTAAGAATTTCTTCTTCTAAAAGGCTTTTGTTTTGATAATTCCCTCAGACTAAATGAGGTCCATCTCTTAGATCCTTTTCCAGCTCCTTGCTCATTTCCTTTACTAAAACCCTAAAAGTGCATAATTATTGCCTTGAGAGGTAGAGGTTGAGTTCCATGAAGAAAAGACCTTGTCTGTTAGTCTCAGCATGCCATTCCAGCACTTGCCACAGGACCTGACAACATAACAGGTTCTGAAATGTGGATGAGTGAGCAAGATGATGGCGGAGTAATGACTAGCAGTCTCATTTCTGTCCTCTTGAGATCAAAATATCCATTCACATTTCAATGAATGCTGTGATGAC